TATATATATATATATATATATATAACACTTTTCTGTATGTTTTGACTTTAGTTCAAATATGTAACTGTTGCAATTGTAAAACTTTGCTGTAAAGGAGTGTTCTTTAGTAGTTTTATATCATATGTCTGCCATGAGAAGAAAGAATAAACGCACATAAAAGACAGAGGAAACGCGCATCTAAAAGTGGGTGACGAAATTAGAGAGATCAAAATGTTACACTATAAAAGCTTGCAATAATATTGGTGGCTAATAAACCGAAAAATGAAATATATATAGGCATCAGTTTTTAACACGTCGTCTCTAGAGTTTTATCATACTTTACTTTAACACTATCGTTTCTTGTTCTTATAAACTGTTCATAAGAGGCTACGTCTTTATGTTAAGCCTGATATATTGCGTAGGGCCAGAGCTGATGCAACCATTTTCCTCGATATTAGTCTTATGTCTTCAAGCTCTACATTTTTTTTACGAAGTGGCATCCATAACTAATAGCACCCAGTTGAAAAATAAAGCATTTTTCGATCTTCCATAAACAATATTTGGCTACAAAGAAAGTAAAATAAATTTTCCAAAATAGCAGTTTTCAACTGATTCCGTACTCATTTGATAACATACTATAGAAATGCGGACCCCAAAATGCGTTTGTGAGCAGCGAATTTTATGGACTTTCACTTGCGATACTATGATGATTTCTCTTTTTTTTCCCCAGTTACACCAACCCTATGAAACTTATGAAACAATTCTATAGTTTAAAAAAGCAAATGTCATAAACATCGACCCAGGATAGAGGAATTGTCAAAAGGCCATAAGTCTTTTAGATTATCCATGGGCTATGATTTTGATATGGTTATTAGTTAGCTGGAGACATTAGTGAAAAAGTTATCTGTTTTCTAGGATTTAATTACAGTTATCGGGATTTCATTAAAAATTTCAGCAACCTATGATTTCATTATAGTTATCAGGATGTAAATAAGAATTATCCATGAGCTGGGATGTGATTAAGTACTATTATTGATTTAGGATTTGATTAAGTTATCAATATGCTAGCATCAAGACACACTGTAGTGTGTCGTGCCGCCAAAACAACCTGCTGCAGGACACAGTATGTGTTATTAACAGGAGTGATAGTTTAGCGATTTTCGACTTTTGTAGCTCAGACTGTGGTAATCCAAACTATCACATATTTTCAGTGGATGTGCTCTAGTTAACTCTTATTTCACATGCTAAATTTCAAGACAATTCACTAAGAAATACCTGAGATATAACATCTTCAATTTTGATTGAGTTTCTTCCTTTTGTTTTCATTTCTTCCTCGCACCAAAAGTACGGAAACTTTATATAATAGGTAAACATATTTAAGTTTTACGGATTTTTTTTTCAGATTAGGTACACTGATAGATCTTTACAACTTACAGTTAGGAGTCTCATTTGATGTAAATATAATTCATATGTGCAAAGTTATTAAAACAAAACACTCAAATGTAACGAAAATTTTTGCGCACGCCTAAGCCAAAAGTCACTTGAGCTATTTGCCAATCATTTTTACTACAGCTTCACCTAAGAGTAAAAGTGGACCGTTTTTAGTTTTTGTCATTCAGATTAGAGATGATTGATTTAGAGCGGCAAAACTATAAGTTGAAAGGACGTGCAGATACATAAGTGTTGGTTAGGTCAAGCAAACTAGATTAGCAGTTTCTAGGTCAAGTTTTTAAAAGAATCATACGGGTGGACGGTTATTATTGATTATTCATTACCAACTTTTCAGCATAAATTTATTACATTTTATGAAATTATCCTAATTAAAGAGCGTTTAGTGTCGCGTGATATTAGCTTTAGCAATTAGCACAAATAATGATGCTTCATACTGCTCTACTGATTGACAAAAAACTGTTAATCTAAATTCCATGGCGTTACTATAAAGGAAGCTATTAACACTGTTTTAGAGAGGAAAAACTAAAACATATATTTTAAATAATCTGGTTGGTTCTCTAAAGTAAAGGTCTGTTTAGAATAATAGGGTTGCGATCCTAAAGCTAATGTGGGTTACTATTGAGTGTCACTTTCTTACTTTCTGTGGTTTGTTGGTGTGTATTAGCAAAAAAGTCGTTATATCTAATCAAAAACATCTTAGGTGTGAACAAAGGTGCGGCCAAAAAAAGGACTGAGCGTGCGACTTAAAGGAATGAAATCAAAATTGGTAGCCAAACACTTATATAGCATTGATAAAAATTTTACAGCAAGTATTCATTGATTAGTTAGCCAGGCCGAGATTTTGTTCAACATGGGGCATGATGGTGGGTAAAACAAAATAAGTCGCACACTCAATCCTTTTTTTTTACACCTAAAGTGTTTTTGATTAGATGTGATTACGAGTTATCAGTGACCTATAGAATTTCAGTAGAATTATCAATGATCAAGGGCCTTTGCAAAACTTACCAATCAGCTTAACTATGATTACTAATTATCAGTGAGGTAAGATGTGAGTAAAAGTTATCAGTGAACTATGATGTGATGAGAGTTATCAACAATCTAGGATTTCACTAGTTATCTCTGAACGAGGATGTGATTAAAACTTATCAATCAACTTGGATGTGATTACTAATTATCAGTGAGGTAAGATGTGAGTAAAAGTTATCAGTGAACTATGATATGATGAGAGTTATCAACAATCTAGGATTTCACTAGTTATCTCTGAACGAGGATGTGATTAAAACTTACCAAACAGCTTAACTATGATTACTAATTATCAGTGAGGTAAGATGTGAGTAAAAGTTATAAGTGAGAATCATAGTTAAGCTGATTGGTAAGTTTTAATCACATCCTCGTTCAGAGATAACTAGTGAAATCCTAGATTGTTGATAACTCTCATCACATCATAGACTAATTATCAGTGGGGTAAGATGTGAGTAAAAGTTATCAGTGAACTATGATGTGATGAGAGTTATCAACAATCTAGGATTTCACTAGTTATCTCTGAACGAGGATGTGATTAAAACTTATCAATCAACTTGGATGTGATTAGTAATTATCAGTGAGGTAAGATGTCTGTAATAGTTATCAGTGAACTATGATGTGATGAGAGTTATCAACAATCTAGGATTTCACTAGTTATCTCTAAACGAGGATGTGATTAAAACTTATCAATCAACTTGGATGTGATTAGTAATTATCAGTGAGGTAAGATGTCAGTAATAGTTACCAGTGAACTATGATGTGATGAGAGTTATCAACAATCTAGGATTTCACTAGTTATCTCTAAACGAGGATATGATTAAAACTTATCAATCAACTTGGATGTGATTAGTAATTATCAGTGAGGTAAGATGTCAGTAATAGTTATCAGTGAACTATGATATGACGAGTTATTAATAACCTAAGCAGTTATCGGGACTGTTGCATGGCCAGAGGTTGTTATGCTGCCACGAAACTTGACGACAGAAGTAGTCTGTTGCCAGAGATCGCGTTGTTAGTGGATGTTACATGACATTATAGCTCGAGTTTTACTCAACAGAGAGCGTGTTGTTAGGGTCATAGTTCCACGAAGTGTACGAGGGAGCGCAGCTGTCTTAGGGAAGAGGGTGATTTCATAGTTCGATACCAGTGAGTCTGTTACTCTAGGTGGATTGAGTTACCAAAGTTCTATAGGCGGATTGTCGTGGTAAAGATAATGTTTCTACAGACTGATAGTGTTACTAGGCAGATGGTTCAATAGGATGATGGATGGTGTTACTAAGGTTCTATAGGCGGATGGTGTTACTAAGAGCAATGTTTCTATAAATGGATTGTGTTACTAAGGGTAGTGTTTGTGAGGCAGATGGTGCTTTTATAAGTGGATAGTGCAATAGGATGATGAGCTCATCGTAGGGTATCTCCATAACTATTACATAATATACAAATTATGTTATGTAACAAATAAAGGATGCTGCTGACTGGGGTTATACAAGTTTGCGTAATATA